ATTTATCTTTCTGTTTGTTTGGGAACAGTAATCCTTTTTGGTTGAATGTACATTTGAAGAGTGTTTGTAAGTGTTTGAAGATATTAAAGTCTGCATTGTGATCTCTAATAGCTTTGAGCGCTGCATATTTTTCGTGCTGTATGTTTTTTAATTCCTGATCCCCCCAAGGTGGTTATGTTCTCATTTGTTGAAGCAAATGTAGCATCATATGTTTTTTGTGTGATCAGCTGCTTTCTGAAAAACGTGTTACCAAGTGTGAAAGTGTGACCTAAAGTTTGTAATGAATGCACTGTTTTCATCCTTGAACCACATGTGTTTTGTCCATTTGTCCTGTTTACCCTCCTGTGTATTATTGTTAGAGGTAAATGTGTTTGAATGAGCAGTGTTGGGGGGAGGTAGAATGTGAATGACATGAGTTAATTACTGTACCTACATTAAACTGTGTGATGAAAGGAAATAATGAAGAAGAACCTGTAGTCACAGCAACCAAAGCAAAGCATATAACTTGGCCACATAAATCATTACCTAATCTACCATTTAAGACATGAATGCCCAAAGTGCGACATATTTCAACAAGTTTTAAGAAGGAGAATCTACCCCATCTTTTTGCAAACAACCCTTGTCTTTTTGTTTCAAAGCCCTCTCAATGCTAGTCTTATCAGTGAATGTTTGGTAACACTTCAGATGAATTTAGCTGTGCTTTTAGAAGCTGTATTAACTTTCTCTACTACAGATTTTTCAATGCCATCTAGTTCTTTCCATATTGCAACACATTCACTCACTTTTGGCCTGGTTATATCCGTAAATGGACGTAAATCACAGATTTTATTGTTAGTAATGTAACATAAACATTTCACAGCAATGACCGCGGCCATGTTGTAGTACCGCACAAAATAGCTGCTTCCTGTACCCTGATTTGTCAAAATACCTTGCAACCATGGTGATTCACTGCTTTAGAATTTTCCTTTCTAAGGCTTCTAAATAATTAATGTGCAAGTGATTTAACAAGAAAGTTTTCAATAGGCTTTATAAATAACAAACATAATTATAAAACCCTAACTTTGTATTCACCAGATATGTTGAAGCACTTTTACACAATTTTGAGTTCGGCCCACTACCATGACTACGTGAAATGCTCGAATTTGATTGGTCAATCAAAAAAATCAGACGGTATCAATTTTGGATTGACAATGCGTCTGATTTCACGGCGCATCACTCACGGTGGAACAAGGGAGGCAACCAAGTAGTAACTGCGGATTCCGGGGGTTTGTTTAAACTGGTGTTGGCTCAATACAGATTCATATCCTCTATGCAAAGTATATGGACGTGGCTGATTCTCTGTAGGAAATTAATTAACTGACCACTGACAACGTAATGCTATATTCACTCATATGTCATTCAGTGAGGGCGGTGGGGTAGCCTAGTGGTTGAAGCGTTTGCTCGTCACGCCAAAACCCGGGTTCGATTCCCCACATGGGTACAATGTGTGAAGCTCACTTGTGATGTAACCCGCCCTGATATTGCTGGAATATTGCTAAAAGCGGCGTAAGACTAAACTCATTCACTCTGAGAGCTTGATTGTATTCAGAATTCAAGGTCTCAGTCGAATGATACAAAAGTACACCGGGTGTAACTTTCACACATGCAAAACCGAGTAATCAACATCTAAACAAAATTACAATAAACGTTATTGGGTCGATTGGTCAAACTAGTTTGAGTCGATTTTTCTCAGTGACGTACTTTGTTCCCGCTCATAAGATAGAGAAAGTTAATTAGATATTCACATTCATTTACCAACCGTTCTACATTATAAACATTTTAACTGCTTGGCTCATCATTTTCCTTGGCAGTCTATCATTTTGTTAGAATTTTAAAACCAATATTTGACTACACATTCCCCAAATGCCATTGAAATCTATTACAACATATACATATACCATTTCCAATAGCCATGGATTCGTTGAAGCCTTCCATGTCTGAGCCATATAAAAGTATATGACATATTTCAAGATCACTGTGTGAGTCGACGAGAAACTGATCCGTCTCCTGACTCCATATAATCTCTCGTTGAAGCGTGCGTATCATGTAATGGAGAATACGATAGTTTCCTGCCTTTATAGAAATTGTGTTTTTGAGGCGTCTTTCTCTTTGTACTTCTTAATTTCCTTGCCTTTGATTCTATGTCAGGTCACTTGCTATTCAATATCCTTAGCCCTTCAATGACTTATAGTCTTTATTTTATGTTCCAAATTCATCATGTTAACTATGACATGGCGTGATCTGTCCGTGACGAGTGCACGTTCGATATTACCTGGCAGTAACGCAACAATAATGTTTGTCTCACAAGCACAGGAAGAAACCTAGTCTTTACATGCTGTTAAAGTTTTTTTTGGCCCCTTTGTAATTCGATGAACAAACGTATTTTTTCCTCTATCTGGATTCCAACCCGTCAAATTTATAATAAACATCATTAACCATTCACTAACAGCGAAAAGTTGAGTAACATTTTGATTTTGTGTCACGCCTAAGTCCCGGGTTCGATGTATCAAGAAAGACGATTTGTTGTATTCAAACAGGAAAATGTCCAATGTCCTCACTCATTCACTCACTCACAATGCATGAACAGAACTGAGCAAGGTAACTAGTATTACCTTTCAAACCACCCATATAGTATAGTGCTATCTGTAATGTTCTCCATCTCAAGAACAACCACCTTCGTCTAGACTCAAGGTGTGTGTGTGTGTGTGTGTCTCTCTCTCTCTCTCTCTCTCTCTCTCTCTCTCTCCTCCTCTCGCTCTCTCTCGCTCTCTCTCTCTCTCTCTCTCTCTCTCTCTCTCTCTCTCTCTCTCTATTTCTCTCTCATCTCTCTCTCTATTTCTCTCTCATCTCTCTCTCTCTCTCTCTCTCTCTCTCTCTCTCTCTCTCTCTCTCTCTCTCTCTCTATATATATATATATATATATATATATATATCTTTCTGTGTGTGTGTGTGTTCCTCTATGGTTGGATTGCTGTAACAGCATGATGTGACAGAATTCCAATGACAAATTGCCATATTCCGCAGTTGCTGGGCGACTGTTTTGGGATGACCTTAGCGAACATCGAATCAGATAACCCGGTGATTGACATCATGAGCATCGCATCTTTATAAACTAACCCTTTGATCGAGCTACAGGGGATGTGGGGTAGCCTGCTGGTTCGTTCGTCATGCCGAAAGTCGAAGACCCGGGTTCGATTCCCCACACAGGTGCAATGTGTGAAGCCAACTTCTGGTGTGCCCCTCCATTATATTGGTGGAATATTGCTGAAAGCGGCGTGAAGCCCAACTAACTCACTTTCACTCATTTTTGTTTGAAGCGACCAGGGGATCGAATCACCGATTCGACTACAAGGCTAGAATTCAGAAAGATGGAATTGAATGTAAGGTTCACCTTAAACCAATAGTGAACCTTCGTGTGTTAAGCTATGTGACAAAAATTACCTGGACATGAACACAATTAGCATAGAATAAAGTCTTAACGGACTTCCAGTCGGGACGTACTGACCGCAGATACATGAGATAACTGAGGAAAACAGGTTAGCTGAATGCATTATTCAGACATCCGTATGACTGTGAAGTACCTGCTGTGAACAAAAAAATTACTTTAATAAACCCAGTCAGGCATTACTTTCCTCCCTTCAACGTGACGTGAAATATCCGTTCGCTATCCGAGTGACACTGCTTCTAAGATGCGTACATTTATCATACAATAAAGGAGTTGATCATCCATAAATACTTGTCATTTCTACTTCTTGCATTTCCTCGTCATTCCTACTTCTTTCAACTTCTAGAATGCCTCTCAAACAGTACAACTTATAGTGTACACATCCCCGTATCAAATTGTATCAGTAGAGTATTATCCTGGTCTAGATGTCTGCATTGTTATCAGCTTTAGCCTGTGTCAATAACTGATTGGATATTTCCTCTACCCAGAAACCAACTGTGACTATATTGGCAGCACATCACGAGGAAGTTTACAGCAGGGAAGTAAAATAATTAATTTGCATTTAAGTGAGTGAGTGAGTTGGGTTTTACGCCGCAGCAATATCACGACGGGGACACCATGAATGGGCTTCACACATTATACCTATGTTGGGAATCGAACCCAGGTTTCGGCGTGACGTGCAAACGCTTTAACTACTAGGCTACCCCCACCGCCCCAATTTGCATTTAACCCACAAGGGGGGAGGGGGGGGGTAAATTGATTTGAATATGATTGTATGGAAGAACATATCAGACTATCTGTGCTTTGAACAAATGAATCATGTCATTGTCAGTATTTTCTGAATGTTTTCTACTGTAAGGATTACAGGTAGAATTGATCCAATGTAATCTATACGTCTTAAGTTGACTACAATCATAGATCTGTGGTCAGTTTCTGTGAGTGTAATTGGGCCTCGATTGCATGTAAAGTAGCTCAGATTTGTGCATTACAAACAATTCCAAAAATGGACCGCATAACAATGCTTCATTTCATAAAAGTAGAGGCAATCAAACCTTGCCAAATCATTCTAAACTCATATTTACTTCAACAATCGCTGATTCCGCTGAGTATAATTTTTCCAACATCGGTATTTATCGACCAATGTCCTACAATTACGTTTTTTACGCTTTATGAATATGCACGATTCGAACGAAGACAGATGCGGTGTTATCGGGACCATGTTGCGTTTTAGCGAATGTTTTCTGCTTGAGTTCACACCTATACCAGCGCTTTTGTTTGTTATACAATTACTTTAAAAGTGATAACTTTCTTTTGCTCGGTAGTTTATATTAGCATCATCATTATTTATTTTATAATCACTACTACTGTACCGCATTATCCGGTGGTCGTGGAGTTGCATCCCAGATTCGCCCTAATTGAATATTTGGGTGCACTTCACCCTTTGACATGAGACAGGGAAGTATGTACTGAATCAGCTCTACAGCTACGGTGTGGGCACGTCACCCATTGGTTAGATAAGCAGTTTTCCTTATGATATATAAGGATGCCGAACGCTGAATAGAGCTCGGCTAGATTCGGACATGGAGCTCGCACGGGTGAGTAATGGAGTTAGATAGTAAGAAATAGTTTAGTTTGATGTCATTTAAAGTAATATTTCAGTTACATCACGATGTGTCTTCACGAGAGCAGGCTATGAAAGCTTAGCACTTTGGTTTAGCATGGCCATGGTTCTGAAAATTAAGGGCGAACCTGGGACTTGATCAGAGGATCATGTCTCCACAGATACATTATTGGTGGAACCCATGTTTCGTTTTCCATTGTGAATTATGTTACTGAGATGTGTGGTATTCATTTTCTGAGCCAGACGCTGTTTTTAGCAACATTCGCCACATATCACGACAGGAACACCAGATAAACACACCTCACATACATGTATTTTACCCATGTATGGATTCGATAATATGTTTCCGTGAACGCTTCCAAACGTGTACAGAAAATATTGGAATTTTCCAGAAGGAAAGGACGACGAAACCTGTCAATGACACACGAAATATTCCCCAAGTGTGTGTGTGTGTGCGTGCGTGCGTGCGTGTGTGTGTGTGTGTGTGTGTGCATGTGGGTCATCTAGACTCTATTTAGTTGTATCGTTTGACTGCTCTAAGATATTGATCATTGCTTATATGTTTAGCAGTATCACCAGTGTCATCTACATAAAGGATCTAGACAGGTATTGTTGAAATAGTGCAACCACGTTCAAATTACTGCTGTTGAAAGGGAACGCTACGTGCCATATTTTGACGTGATGGAAGCAAAATCTAAAGAAGCCTGACCATTACTTTTTTCGATTTGAATAACAAGCTCGCAGGAAATTTCAACGGTGACTGACAAAATGGTTCCTTACGTTAAAAATATCCGGTAATAGCAATCATTTGTTCCAAAAGTACGGCCATTTCGGTTTGAAATGTATACTAAATGCTGCAAGTTACTTAACAAGATATTTTAACATATTATTCCTGATATAACAATAGTCTCAGATGCAATGTATTCGACGAATGTATCAAAACCCCATTACATTAGTGGGTATTTTCTAACTGAAAACGTGTACCTAACGTTGATACCTATTTCCCGTTTGGTCTGCGAGAACATTGTACACGTTAATTGTAATTCCTGCCTGTAAAACAAGGACTTGATTGACTTGGTTCAACGCAGTAATGCAAGGCACTTTGGCGTGTTGGATGGAGGGGTAGCCAAGCGGTTAAAGCGTTCTCGCGTCACGCCGAAGACCCGTATTTTATTCGATTTGTTTTCCCCACAATGGTACAATGTGTGAAGCCCATTTCTTGTGTCCTCGCCGTGATATCGCTAGGATATTGCTTACAGCGGCGTAAAACCATACTCACTCACCCATACATACGATCTCTGCTTTATGGGCACAATGCAGCGCTACTTAAAGTGATAATCTCTATTAATGACAGGCCATGGTCAGGTCGTCCATGAGTAACCGCTGTCGATCAAAAATCGATGCATCCGGTTCGGCGATTTTTTGAATTCGAACCACAATAGCCACAAGCACAGTGTCGCAAATTTAAGCAGAATTTCAGACGAAGAAGGAATTTGGACTTGGCTGATGACTGTTTAATTCTCCTTTTCTACTGCTACGTGTCTATAGACGATGCGCGGAACGTTGTGCTCCAAATTGGGTACATCAAGTCGGTCGTTTTGGTGATGACGTGACAATGTAATGCTGTCGGCAGGAATGCATCGTGCTAGTAGGACGGCTCTTGTGCATGTAACAGGTGCACTGACAGGCATCAGATCCCGCAACACCACGTCATTCCACACTTGAACATCAACGGTGGACTGCCCAACCTTGGCAACGCCAGGCTACGTGTTTCACCGGTTGTCAGGAGTTTCTACAACGCCACAACTTCCACGCATTACCTAGCAGTTCCCACTAGGAGTGAGTGAGTGAGTGAGTTAAAATGTATCGTCACATCGGCAGTATTGCAGCCATATCGTGACGAGAACAATTAATTTTATACATAGTAAATAATGGTAAATTGTAAAACCTGTCAACGAAGGACAGTAAACTAACTAGATTATCACAGATTCGAATTTACAACTAGTAATTAAATCTTAAACAGTTTAACAATAGATGACAATACAAGGTAAAAACAGGCTATGCATTGCCAACGACTGAAGGTAGATCACCATACTAGGGACCATGGGGACTTACGGTACATATACTTCCTGCATGGACCCTAGCTGGATGTTCCCTCTAGGAAGCACTGGATGAGCGTTCATATAATACAAAATCCTTATTTCACGACTCGTCAGTTATATGAAACTTGTCAAATAGTTGTACGACAACCATCATAATATGTTAGCCGGTGACTTCAACACCAGAATGAGAGACTTCTTGGACTATATACCAAGTGATGATCTTTCACATATCATGGGTCAGGACTGGGATGATTACCCATCAGATAGCTTTGATATGCCTAGAAATAATCGTGACAATAACCATTATAATACCTATGGTGTGAAGTTAGCTAACTTATGCTGTGTATTTGATGTCCATGCATTGAATTTATGGGCAACATTACTTGTGTTACTCACAATGGTTTCAGTGTAGTTGATTATGTGTTGGCCTCAACAGATTCATTCCCATACTTTATTGATTTTAGAATATTATCTCGTGATGATTCCTCAAATTTCCCGTTGTCTTGTACACTTTCTTGGAAATTTGATAGAATATTAGAAGCTAATCACTTAGTTAGTGTTGATAAGTCAAATGTATCTTATCACTCTAATTGTGAGTCTTGGGTGAAATATGTTTGCAACAATGACCTTGCAACAGTATTTTAAACTAAGTTTCAAGAACTATTTCTTCAATCTTGTGATTGCTTACATGCTTCAGCCAAAGATAATATTTTCAAGTGCATAGAAGATATTACTTGTTTATATCAGTCAGCTGCTAGTGTCATGAAGAAAAACTATCCATAACGTCAAGTCACAAGTAAAGATGTCACTCAACCACCTTGGTGGGACGAAGAACTGGAGTATTATAAACATAGAAAATATGCAGCATTGAACTATTATCGGCAGTGTGGCCTAAACTTCGATCTGTATAGACAATTAAGAAATAAATTTAAGAGGTTATTTTGTGTTAAGAGAAAAGTTTTTCAGAGTCAACAGAGAATGCTACTTGTAAATGCCAGATGTGACCCCAAAAGGTTTTTGGAAGTGCTAAAGAGAGATAGGATTAATATTTCCTTGCCCAAAAATATCACTATAGATAATTGGTTTAGATATTTAATAATTTGTTATATGTTTCTCATGAGAATGCATTTCTGGTGTCCCCCGCCGTGATGTTGCTGGAATATTGCTAAAAGCGGCGTAAAACCAAACTCAGTCAGTCAGTCAGTCATGAGAATGATAGTTGTAATTCTCAGAAAACCTCTTATTTTCATTTCATGCCATCTTGTGAGGATGTAAATGCTTCAACTTGTAATTTAAATGTACGTATCACAGAAAACGAAGTAAAGCAGAGCTTGGCAAACTTAAAAATGGGAAAATGCCCAGGGCCCCGTTCCTCAAGGCGATCGTAGCGCTACGACAGTCGTAAGTCTATGTTAAAGTATGGGAGTTACCACTGTCGTAGCGCTACGATCGCTTTGAGGAACGGGGCCCAGGTGAATATGGTATACAAAGTGAATTTTTAAAGTATTGACTAACATATATAATAAACGTTTTCATGATGAAATATTTTCCACTGCGTGGGTAAAGTATAATTTGCCCACTAGATAAATCAGGTAATATGTAGTTGTTGTTTTTGTTGAGTTAGGTGCTTTGAAGGTCGCCTTCGCCTGCTGGCATGTCGGCAGACCTATCCCGCCTTGGGATGCGTGGGGCTCGTGGATATGGGTGTGGTGTCCCTCCTTGGGACGCATGGGGCTGGGCCGGGGGTTAATAAGAATGACATAAGAAATTATAGAGGAATTTCATTAATTGATACTTTAAGTAAAGCTTTAGCCGCTATCCTGAACAAGAGGCTTCCTGTATGGTGTGATGAGAACCATGTTATCTCTGAACTCCAGGCAGGTTTTAGACCTGGTTATTCCACTATCGATCAGGTATTTTCTATACAAGCAATGATTCAGAAGTACATATCCAAGAAAAAAAGGCAGATTTCATTGTATATCTATAGATTTAAGTAAAGCGTTTGATTGTGTAAACCACAATGTTTTGCTTCAAAGTTTATACAATATAGGTGTACGAGGTAAATCTATTGATATATTGCCTCTATGTACTCATCATTATCTTGATGTGTAAGAACAGATGGAGGATTAACAGAGTACTTTAAGTGTAATATTGGAACCCGTCAGGGTTATATTATGAGTCCTCTTCTATTTGTTATTTGTATAACTAATTGTCTGTAATGCTCGAAGAGAAAGGAGGTAATGGTATATTTGTTTCACAAAAACATCCAAATATTGTAGCATTATTCTTTGCGGATGGTGTAACAGGGGTATCTGATTCTGTTATCAATCTACAAGAAAATAAATGTTTTAGAACAGTTTTGTGAAGCAACTGGTATGAAGATTAAAATATACAGAAAACTAAGATAATTGTATTATGTAGGTGGTCCTCTAAAAGGTTACGAGAAATGGTACTTTAAAGGTCAGAAAATTGATGTTGTTAATAATTATAGGTATCTTGGGGTTGTTTTCACACCAACTTTGTCATGGTCAAAGGCACAAAGCTGTTTAGCCGCCCAGGCTAACAAGGCACTGATGTCATTATAAAATTATCAAAGAAAGCATGGTTTTGTCTCTTGTACTGATGCCTTCAAGATATTTGATACAATGATTGTTCGAATTATTTCATACGGAGCTGATGTTTAGGGTACACGGTATTGTAAAACCATTGAAAGAGTACACACTAGCTTCTGCAAGAGAATATTAAGGTTACATAAGAACACATGTGATGTTATGGCACTTGGTGAATGTGGTAGAGTACCACTTCAGTACAACTATATGTTAAAACTAATAAAAGTGTAGAATAATTCATGTAGATTACAATCGTTTACTTA